TCTCTCTCTCTCTCTCTCTCTTTTAGTTGCTCTTTTCTCCATCCAACCTTATCCAATTACAGTTGACTGATTGCCATGTAGATTGCATAAATTCTTCTTAGATCTAACGTTTATTCTACAACACATTATTCAACTTTCATCGAAGTTTCATCGTCTATTTTTTTTTAATACTAATTTTTTTTACTCTCTTTCTCTCTCTCTCTCTCTCTCTCTCTCTCTCTCTTTTTCTCATTCTCCGTTCATCTTTTCTTTTTACTTCTCGTTTAAAATTTTTGTATCACATTATTTTTTAATGAGAATTTTGTATTTTTCCAAACCCCTTTCTCTCCCACCCTTCCTCACACCCCTCCCGTCATTCCCTCTTTCCTTTCTGTCTCTCTCTCTCTATCTCTTTCTGTCACTCTTTTTCTCTTTCTCTCAGATTAAACACAGATTTTTTGTTTGTTATTTGTTCGTTTGTTTGTTTGTTACGGAATATGGAATAAATATTTTGCTCTTTTTTTTTTTTTTATCTTCTTTTCTTTATTTTCTCTTCCCTTTTTACTCACAATCAGTTTTTTTTTTATTTTTTTTTTAATTTTTTTTTTGGTTATTTTTTTGTTTTGTTCAAACACGTATATACATATGTACGATTCCATTCATTCTCTCATTTTCTAAACTCGACCAACGATCGACACATGACCGTTGGATTTTTTTAATCCTATCCGAGAAAATACAATTTTTCGCGTATCCTTTTTTCTCATTGGTTGGCTTTTTTTTTTCTTTCCCTTTTTTCCGTTTCTTTTCTTCTTTAACTCACAGCGAAGAACGATTTTCGCTTTATCGCGCGACGATTAATTTTTTAATTTATATTCGCAACTTTATCGTGCGAGATTTCCAGTCTCGTGGCTTTTTTTGTTGTTGGTTGATGGAGCTTTTAAAAAAATTGAGAGAGAGAGAGAGAAAGAGAGAAAGACGAAATGAGAAAAAGAGAGAAAAGTGGGTGGTTGAGGGGGACAAAAATATGAATTATTTTAACCGGTATCTGTCGTTTCATTTTTTGAGTCTGGTCGCCATTTTTGTTAAAAATTCTTACCCATTTTCTTTGCACATTTCCTTAGAAACGTCAACAAGACGAGATACGAAAAAAGAAAATACGAGAGGATTGGGATAGGAGATAGAGAGAAAGACATAGAGAGACAGAAAAAGAGATGGGGAGAGGAGGGTGGGGGGAGAGAGAGAGAGAGAGAGAGTTCATTATCAGAGATAGTCTGGTCTCCTGATTTCTTTCATCCCTTTCATTTTTTTCTTTTTTTCTCTTATCTTTTTAGTCTTCATTTATTTATTTATTTATTTATCTTTATTTTTCTTTTTTTTCCTTTTTTTTTTTTTGTCGTTATACCTTATTTGATTTTAATATTATTTTGTAACGAAATCCATTTAGTTTATCATTTTCCCATAATTAGTTTTCTTTAGAAAGATCTTTTTTTTTTCCACTCCCTTTTTTTTTTTTTTTTTCATCCGATGTCCGTCTTTCGAATGACGATCACGAGACTGGAAATCTTACGATTGTATACTTATATATTTATGTATATATTTATATATACGCATATATAAAGGATTCACTGACTGCAATAACGAATTACTTGTCTCAATACGTTAGGTTTATAGTATTTATAAACTTATATGCATTGTAAATTGTTAACAGGCCGTGGCTATACAGGGCCCACTGCGTTGATTTCTCTTCAGTCTCTGTGGCACGCGGTCTTCCGAATGTGTACTTGTGTATTTGTGTGTGTGTGGTGTGTTATTTTATTTGTTATATTTTTTTTTGCGTGTACAAATGTGCAGTGTATTTAAGTGTTAATAGATGTATTATTTTTGTATATATCAACGTGTACGTGTGTGTGTGTGTGCGTGTATTTGTGTATCCAAATATGACGCGTGTCCCTCGAACCCTCAACTCTCGGTACTTGTATGTTATATCGTCTCGAGAGCATGATGACACCAGCATATATGTGTGTGCGGTTTAATCAATGTGTGTGTTCTGTGTGTGTGTGTTTTCCGTATACTTCTCACGTTGTCTTTTGATGGAAGAAAGGCAACGCAAGAGTTCCATCACTTTCACGTCCGAACAACTTGTCCCACACCGATATTCCTTCATGTTTTCTTCTTCTTCTTCTTCATCATCTTCTTCCATATCAGCGTCGTCACCGAATTCTTCTTCATCTTCATCCTCCCCCTCTTCCTCCTCTCTCCGTTTCCTATTCTTTTATACTTTCTCTTTCTACGTCCGCCGTTTCCATTTTCGATAGAATTAAATCATTCCCCCTTGGACTTCCTCGCGTGGTCTGGTGTGACCGACGAAATTGGCCAAAGAACATTCGTTTTCAAGCAAGATAGAGTAGTTTGTTTGTTTCTTATTCTTGTTCTTTATATCATGCCTCAAATTTTGATGACCTGTATTTCATTCCATCAATGAAACTAATCTCGTTCATTCGATATCTATTTTGTCTATCTATCTATCTATCTATCTATCTATCTTTCTTTCATTCATTCTTCCATTATTCCTTGATCTTGATCCACTTTCTTACATTTTTTTTTTTTTCTCTTTTTGTCGATTCTCTTCTGCCTCGCAGTCGGAACGCATCTCACTAATTCGAATCCACGGAATCCTCACCTCGAAAGAGGTACGTGGACCAATAGGCTAGGTTGAAGAGGATGAACATGAGAGGAAAGGCTGCGCGCGATATAAAGTCGATTCTAGCGCTACCTTTGGCCTTGCAGGTGAACCACCCGCGGGGTAACAAACCCCAACAGCACCTTCCGGTATGAGCCGAAGAAAATTGTGGGAAACGATGAAAACGTTGAGGTGGTGCCGGCCTAACGGGTGCCGACGGTGGCGATGGGGTCGCCGTTCTCGACGACGGTGACGGCGAAGCCGATTGCGACGATCTCGTCGAGCTTCTACAGGAATGCTTGGAGTTTCTCGGCGAGTAGCCACGATCGTCTTCGAACGTTTGTACGGGCGAGTACGACGGTCCTGTGGGTGCTTGTTGGGGTGGTAGAGGTGGTGGTGGTGGTGGTGGTGGTGGTGCCTGTAGCATTTGTTGTTGCACTCTATGACGATGACGGCGACGTTCTTGTTGGTGATGGAGATGGTGGTGGTGGTGATGGTGGTGGTGCTGTGGCTGCTGCTGCTGCTGCGACGGCTGCACCGACTGTAACAACTGTTGCCGATGCCGTTGCCGATGCCGTTGCTGCTGCTGCTGCTGCTGCTGTTGTTGTTGTTGTTGTTGTTGTTGTTGTTGTTGTTGTTGTTGTTGTTGTCGATGTCTAGGACGTGAACGATGTGTGTTTCCGTAGGAATAATGATGGGGATGGCCGCGAGCCACGTCCCTTGATCCGAGCGCTTCCTCGTCGAAGTTTACTGGCCCCCCACTTCGTCCCGAAACAGGTACGTGGACCAGTACGTTAGGTTGAAGAATGCGAATACGATGGGAAAGAATATTCGTGATATGACGTCGATGCGCTTGGACCTCGTCGGGAACTTGGACAGCCACGACCTGCAGCAGTTTTTTTTTCGCGGTGGCATATGTAGTTCGCACGGCTGCATTTTATCCATCGACATGGAATCCTCCGGGTGTTGGACTAGAGGCTTCTGAAAGAATTCGGTCGGTATTGAGCCGTTAGTCGACCGAGCTTATATATTTCCCCATTTTCTTTGTCTTCTTTTGTTTTCTTTATCTTTCCTGGCCATCGAGCGGGTTTTTATCTTTTTTTTTTTTCTTTTTTTTTTTTTCTTTAATTTCATATATTTGCCGTCTCTCATCCGTTAATTCCCGCTCGACTGCCAGAATCAATCGTGCCAGGAACATTTTATTCATACTTTTTCTTCCCTTCCAATCCTTGAACGGATTCTCGATCGAAATAAATGCACTGAGAGATAATCAATTTCAACCCTTTTTTGATGATTATTAGAATGGTACATTTTTAACTATTCTAATATTTCAATAACGTATATATATATATAATCAAGAGAGCAAACCTTTGTCCATATAATTAATTCGTCCATATCTGCAGCTTATTGCTATATAATATTAACGCATTCGCGATTGCATATTTTGTCATTGGAATATTTCAATGAAATTAATGACAACAAAATATTTTATTACGATTGATAAAAGATGTATAGAGAATTTGATCAACTTTTTCGATCATTAAAATTAGATCAATTTATCGAGGAAAAAAAAACAAAAATTTCAAATAATTTATTCGATATTATCGATCTTCTTGATAATTATTTGATATTAATGATTGTTTCGAAAATGCGTTAATTGTTATTGACAGTTAATTCGTAAGAAATATCATCAATGATGGATACTGACCATAGCGAAATTCGCTGAACTGTCCGCGTCGAGGATCTCCGATGTTGGATCAACCGAGGAAGAATGTTCCATCTCGTTCGGTGGAAATTTTTTGTTTATGTTATCGCTGTGCATGTCGCTACGCGACGCATAATTCACCAAAGCAAATTCGAGAAGTGCACTGAACACAAAGGTCAGGCATACCCCTGTCCAAATGTCGATGGCCTTTGTGTAGGAGACTGGTGGCAGTGAGGCATTTATTCCCGATGTTTGCGTGGCCATCGTCAGTAGTGTCGTCACGCCTGAATAAACATACAAAATTATCCAATTAACCTTTGCTTCCCTATGCGCTCCTCTACTCGATCTACGACGATGCGAATGGTCGTCCTTCTATCTATCTATCTATCTCTCTCTCTGTCTCTTTCTCTTTCCTCGTTTCGAGAATCAATAACATGATATTGAAGGGCCAATCCTTTTTTGATTTTTCTTTTTCTCTTTCCTTTCCCACTTTTTTCAATTCGTTCCAATTATAACCCAAGATCTTTCGTAAACTAATTTTTGTTTCTTTTTCTTTCTAATTTAAGCCCTTTCAAAATAGGTTGACGTATTCGACAAATGTAATGTCAAGATATTCGCGAAAAATGTATTTAAGATTTTGTTGAAATATTGTGAGTCCAGTGCAATTCCATCATAAGGGTTGAAAATTCGAATTCTAGAGATTTGATATATTATTTTAATCAAATAAATATAAAATAGAATTTTGTGTAAAGATATTTATATAATTTATATTAAAATACTGGCATTGCATTGTATTATATATAGTGTATATAATAGTTGAGGTTAGTGGTATAGTAGTTAGAGTAATTATATTAAGATATATTAAGTCTATTTATATTAGTTTTCTATTATATGTTCAGTTAGTTGTAAGTTGTATATTAATACGGAGAAATAAGGAAATATAATAAATGTTTGTAAAGGTAACACAGACTCTTCAAACTCGTAAAAAGGAGAGTAATAAAAACACATTTTGTTTATTAAAATATGAAATAATAAAATATATCATTAGTAATAATTGGCGAGATATATTATTATTCTTGGATTATATTATTAATCTTGGATATGTTTTATGAATATAAAATTTGCGTGTTGGGTTTGGGACGAGCTTGCTTGTTGGCTTAAGGACTAATGATTGATTCATACTACTAACCTAACGATACTCGAGCCGGTACAGCACTTTGATCCAGCCAGAAAGAGACCCAGGAGACGATGACAAGCATGCAGCAGGGGATGTAGATTTGGATGAGATAGTAGCTGAATTCTCTTTTGAAGAGGAGATCTACTTTCAGGCAACTGTACTCTCCTGAAAAAGAAAACAAGTAACGACAAATTTCATTATTAATGAAAACTATTAAATTATAATTATTCGTATAATCAAAGATTTAAACAACTAACCGGTATTTGTTTTACTGTTGCAATAATCAGTTAGAAATTTTTCTAGAGTGAACCTAGGCAGGTGTAAGTTCTTAACAACCTGGACGGGATCACCTTGTTTCCAAAGGAAGACCAAATCTGTAGTCGTCCATCCATCTAAACGTACAAACAAATTTTTGATTAATGAAAACAAACAAACAAACACGTTTGTTTAGTTTTTTCATTGAAACTTACAGCTGGCCATGCGTAGAGAGCAAATTTGTTTGTCCAGAGGATACAATTTCAAATTCATGGGACACGAAAGTGTCAATGATATCCTGCAAAAAGTAACGTGAAAATGTTAAACAATGATGACTTATTTATATATCGTTTTAAAAAAAAAACAAACTTATTAGGATTGCGAATATAGAATAGAGTTTATTTCACGTACGAGGATGAGAAGAAATATTTTGTTAGTTTAAAAGAACCTACCGTATACTGTAAAGAACCGAACCATTTGGAAAGATTCGTATATAAACGTTGGGCATAATAATGTTATGAAAATGACCCTCCTTTTCATTTGCAAAGAATAAATCCGGCATCCATACGCGATTAGCTTCTGTTAATGTTAAATATTTCAGTCGATCTGAAAAAGGCACAAAACTTATTTTCCGTATCAACATTTATTATTTACTACGTAACTGGTGTATATTACGTGCATATATGTATATTTGAAAAATATCACAAAAGAAATAAAAACGCGTCAAACGAATTTTTTTTGTATACAAAATCATTAAAATAAAGTTTGTGTGTTTTTTTCCTTTTTTTCGTACCTTTGAAGTCATTAAATTTTAGTCTCTCGTCAATCCATTGTTCCCGAAATGTTAATTGTACGGAGTATTCCTGTAGGCACATAATCGTATTTTAGAAACATTGAGTTAAACAAAGTTACTACGCCCACGTCAAACTTGTTTTATTGAATTTAATACACGTAAGATCTGTCTCGAGCAAGAAAAAAAATCAAAAATATTGACAGAGAAATAATAAAGAGAGTACTACCCCGTTTTTCGTTTTCTTTTGTTTTTTTGTATTTTTATTTTTAATTAACAGTTACATTTAACGTTTTAGTATTTCGATTGTAATTTTCAATGAAAACATCAAACGAACGTATTAAAAAGAAAGTTAGCGACAAGTCCACCGTTAAAGTTAAATTTGATACGCCATACGATAGTTTTTCGTTTATTTAATCATCGAATTTACTTAAATAAATATTGAATTTCTAAAGTACATACACGCGCGAAATGGAAACATTTGTATATAAAGCGCGAATCGTTGTTATAATTAATAGATTAAAATTTCATCGAATTACCCGAGAACGTTCTAGACAAAAATTAATTGATAATTAGAAAGCGCATTAACTATATTTAATTTTTTTGAAATACAAGAGAGAGAAATAAATCAAGCGAACGAGAATAAATAAAACGTTATTGTAATTTACTGATGTTAACATTACAATATTGTCGTATAGATACAAAAAAAAAAAAAAAGAAATGAATTTTCATTTTTATTTAAATGAAAATTCTCTTTAATTTGCGCATCTCTACTACAGCAAAGATTTAGCATTCATTTTGTCACTAAATCGATAAATCGGCCTACTTTATAGCGAAAAACCATTCAACAGTAATTTCGGTGACCTCGTTAACGCCATTAACAAACATACCACATGTTTGCCGCGATCCTTTGTAATTCTCCTTAATGATTTATAAATTTGTCGCGAGAATCGATCTGATTATTTTTTTGTTTTATTTTTTTTTATTTAAATTTTCTTTTTTTTTTTTTAATTATTTTTTTCCAAAGTATAAAAGCAAATAAATGTTACGCGAACATTTTTTTTTACTTTCATAGATTTCAACGTTTAATTATTTTAATGGATTAAGCGAAAAGTTAAGATCGTTCTTAATTCTTTGTAAATCTTCCTTTAAGTTAATACGACCATAAAAATCGTCCATTTCATTTTTCTACCACTCCATCTTCTTCTTCATATCGAATCGTTAAAATGAAATGAAATAATGCAACGTTCATTCCCATCTCTGCTTCTTTTTTCTACTTTTTTTTTTTTCCTCGTTAACTCGGTCAACGTTCTCTTGAATGGTCACTTAACTTGACGCTGTTGAAATGTCATTGGCGTCTTACTTTTCTTTTTCTTTTATTATTTTTTTTCTTTTTTCTTTTTCTCTTTTATAATCCAATAGAATCGGATTTTTTGTGTGCAGGATCAATCCTCAATTGCTGTGATAATTGATACTGCACTTATGTTAAATGTTATATACTAAAAATAATATAGATTATAAATATATTTATTAATATAAATATATGTATAAACTATATATTTTCTACGTTTTATAAAATTTTTTTCAAAAAAAAAAAAAACAAAAGAAAATCACTGTACCTTTCTTAACAAATACTTAGAAACATTAATTCAACAATAATATTTTCTTATCGATAATCAAACAATTTATATATATATATATATAAATATAAAAAAAAGAAAAATACATAAAATTTGACGCCAAAATTCGTTTCGTTCGAGCATAGAATTATTTAATTTGTTGTTTTTTAATTTGAAATTTTATAAAATAAAAACAGAAGATAAAATGATAGAACAATTGCACGCAAAATAAACGAATGCAAATTAATTTTCGATTAAATCAAATCATTAATTACATTTCGCGAGATAACAAAAATTAAATATTTTTATTCTTTTAATTAAACCGAGACAAAAAAGAGATATTTAAAAACAACAAGTTACCGTTTGACGTCAGCTTTTATATATATATATATCGGTTAATTTAAAAAAAAAAAAAAAAAGAAAAGAGGAAAAAATTGTTACAAATCAGCGAAACGTAATTTTCCGTTTGCAGCGACTAGGGTGAAACGATGAGAGGGAAAAAAAAACGGAACATAAATAAATCACACTGTGGCTGTGATGAAGTTGGCAAGGATAGCAAGAGAAGTGGATGAGGATTCGTTGAATAATACATTTAAGCTCGCTCGTAGGCAGGATGAGAAATACAAGAAAGTGGAGAAAAAATAATAGACGGGGAGAATAAAGATGGCCGTCGAATAATACTGGGCTCGTTTTTTTTTTCTTTTTTTTTTCCCCCATTAAATAATACCGTACTTTTTTTTGCAAATAATATATTTTTGTTTGTAGGAGCTTTTTTTTTTTTTTTTACAAGAACACGATTTAACTTTATTATATCAAACGTTTTTTTTTTCCATTTTATCATAAATAAATTTTATCTATATATGAAAAATAAATGTTCATAATTTACAAGGCTTTTAAAAAAGAAGACACATTTTTTTTTATAATATAAAAAATAATTATATTTAATATCATTATATATATATATATAATATGATATAAAGATTCCATGATTGTTGAATAATAAATAATACGACGATGTTCATAAACTTTGGTAGAGTTAATCGATTTGACAAATAACCCGTTCATGCATTATATATGTATTACGCGTTTGCAAATCCAGATATCCCAAAGGGCATATTTTACAAATAAGCGGAAGGCTCATTTGGCTTGCTAGTTATGTTTGTTTATTTTTCTTTCATTTTATTAATGATAACGATCATTGTGTATTGATCGTTCGTCAAAGGTACAGTGATTTTATTTTCTTTCTACCTTCTTTCAGGTAGATCTTGTTTCTCGTGTTTTTTTCTTTATTTCGTATTGTTTTTTGTTTTTCCTTTTTACTTTTTTTTTTACTTTATCCAAAGAGTACAAAAGTGTACGTGTCGACTACTCCGTGGAAGCGGAGAAGCGACAGAGAAAGAAAACAAATAAAATCAAAAAAGTTGTTCGTGAAACATGGCGGGTGTTGTGTGTTGGGTAGACAAATTATTTTCAGAAACTTTTTGTTTCTTATTACTTTGATTATGGTAAAAAGGGATTGATATTAATACAAATATATATATAGATATAAAAGAGATTAAAAAAGTAAGCATTCCATGGCGGGATCGTAAAGGGGGGGGGGAAGCGGGATGGCCTCGTACCTTTAAAGGATTTTCTTTCGAGGAAAAAAAACAATACTGTGGATAGAATAAAATTTGGGTTACGCACAATTTGTGTATGTTCTTATTCCTTTTTTTTTTTTTTTTGTTTAACAAGCAGAAATAATGGAAACTATCAAACGTGCATAAGTGTGCAAATTGCGAGGCATTTGTCTATTAGATAACATACACTAGCATAAGAGGCGCATATATAAATAAACATACACACGACATAACGTGTCGTACGATTAGTATTACACTAACGAAAAATATCTGTAATATTAACGATTAGCTCTTAGAATAAAAAAAACGATTATTATTATTTAAATATTTTATCTATTAAAATATACGAATATATATATACATATATAACGTATATTTTATACACATATACGCACACATTGAATAATCGAACATAAGCACTACGAAAGAAAATAATTCATGCATAATATTGGCTCACGGGTTCACAGTTATGATCCAGCTTCGGATGGACCGTCCATAGGCTGCGTTCCGTTTGTACCCTATTTCAGAGGGGGTGGGGGGTGGGGGAGGGAGAAGTGCTTCCACCTTTTTTCCTCTGGTTTTCTGCTTTTTTCGATTTTTTTTTTTCTTTCTTTCTTTCTTTCTTTCCTTTCGAATTAATTTTGTGCGATTCTATCGCTAATTGATTCGGATAAATTCATTCATTGAAAAATGTTCATTTGCTTTAATATTATATTGTTTTATCTACGAAGGGTGTGGGGGTACAGTCTCGTGAATTTCAACAAATTTCTCTATGAACCAATCCGTTTTTTTTTTTTTTTAGTCGATTTTTTTAATTTATCATATATTATATTTACTTTGTGTAGTTTATTTGTTATTAATTATAATAATGTTTCGTTATAGAATTTGGTTTTGTAATTACGTGCTCGTTCGTTCGTTCGTTCAATTTCCGCAACTCGTGTTAACTTTTCGAAAATTTCTTTCCTTTTTTCTCTCGCTTTTTTTTTGTTTTTTTTTTTTTCAGTTACTTTATTAATTTGCCTCTTTTTTTTCATTTTGATTCCACCAAAGTACGAAAAAGAACAAGTGCGCGAAGGGAGTTTTATTTTTTTTTTTTTATGTTTATCCATTCGCATTAACATTAGCAAAAGGGGAAATAATCCGCACATGTTTGCGTTACGTTGGAATTTTAGTATAATAACAAAATTCGTAGTTGTGTTGGTATTACGTAATCGTACAAATTGTAGCTCTTTAATTATCGTTCAGACATTTCTTTCCCCATTTTGTATCCCCTCAATCCGTGGTTAAATATTTTTCATTTAAATTTGTACGAACGAATAATGTAATTTTTAAAAACTCTACGCAAAATGTAGCCGAGGTTTTTCTAATTTATGGACATTAGTCGGATATTGGTTATAGTATGACGCATTGTACGGATACTGTATAAATGACTATAAGTAACCTGATGGGGATTGATTTAATGTTACTCGTTGTTAATATTTTATAGTAAGCAAAGTTTTATGAAACGAAATTGTGTAATAATATTTTATCATTATTTCCCCGTTAACGTGTTTTAAAATTAACTGGACAAATAATTCGAGTTCGTAGTAGAGAAATATTTTATTATATGCTATTAGAGTGTAGTATTTTAGTATGCAGTTTAATTAATTCATGCAAAATAAAAACGATTATAAGTGAAAGATTAATAAATCATGAAGCGAAATATTTTCTTTGGTATTAATATTTCATATTTTTTTTTTTGCATGCGTAACTTGAAAACGTTTTGATTATGTTTGAAAAAAAATTCACGATTAATCCTTTATTTCTGGATGAAAATAAACTTAGGTATTTTTTTG